GTAATAAGAAATTAAATTAACTCTCACCAAATGATTATATAAGGTCATGTAAAGTTAAAAGAAGACACATAATCGGACAGTAATGTTTTCAAAAAAAAGGTGTTCTTCATGTTTCATTTTAATATACATAACTTTACGTATGTGTATACCAGTGACAGTGAATTTGTGGGTTACCGATAAATTTTGAAGTGTTAAATTTGTAGGGATTTGATTTGGTTCATTTTTGATCAGGATTGATGCCAGTTGGAGAACCATTGAAAACTAACCAGGGAGTACTAGACAGATAGCTGTTTCATCCCATTTTGGGACTCTTCATGAGTTCTCACCGGGGGTCGAACTTAGGACCTCCAGTTACAGGACAAGCTTGTTGACCATTCAGTTACTTGGACCGGAGTTGGATGGCTGACTGAGGAATTCTAACCTCTGTCAGTTCCTGGTTTTAGTGCGACCGCCAACACCCTACCCGATGTTCTTCATGGGTCACGACTTTTCACTAGAATTGCAGGCAACTTCATCCTATAAGCAGTCACTAGCCAGCATCAGGCTGATTTTCAAGGGTTATTTTATAACCTGAAGGTTTTGGGTTCGATTCCGTAGGAAGGGGTTGTGGTTGCGTACTCCTGAAGAGTTCTGGACTGAGAATAAACAACTGTCTAGTAATCCCTCGAGGTTTTCAATGGTTCTCACGCATCAATCACTGAGCGCATACACGCGTCAATTCCATTCAAGTATGATGTCAGTGTTCACTTGAAGTTCTGTCTTCGCCGCCTGCCTTTTCCGCTAACTTGTTGGTTTTCGTCTACGGATCTCCGAGTTTATATAACACGAGACAAATCTTCCGCGAATCCCAGCTCTTCTTGAGTCTTCTTGCCAGTCCCATGTGTTCCTGACTCCTCGCTCCCCACAGTTTGAAGCACGATGCAGTTCACCACAATTAGGAATATCATCTGCAATAATAGGGTAGCTTTGCCTTACTCTTGTATTCACTTCAGAGGCTTCGCCGAGTTTTCATTTCTAAATCATTTGGCCTATGTGTTAACTAATGATCATCATACAGCTGTTGAATGTGTTTGGTAAGCGTGGTGGAGTCATTTCCAAATTACTTCGAGGTCAATGCAGTTGGAGGCCTTCTCAGAGTCCATGAAGGTGAAGTAGAGATTTAACTGCCACTATATGCTTTGTTCTATGATAGTGCATAGAGTTTCAACTTGATCAGCATATGATTTGCCTTTCCTTGGCGGGAGTTCTGCATCCAATACATGTTTCATTCTCTCCAGGATGACGCGAATTAATATTTTGATTGAAGTGAACAAGAGCATGTTTCCGCATCAATTCTTGCAGAGGCTTTCTTCACCCTTATTTGGTAGTTTGACAAGGTAGCCTTTCTCCCAATCAGTAGGTACCTTTTCTTCCTTTCAAACTTTTTGCAATAGTAGCGTAAGAATATCCGCTGCAATCTCTGGATTTGTTCTGAGTGCTTCGAGGGGAATTCCGTCTTTTCCTGATGCCTTCCTGATTTTAAGTAACTTGACTGCATTCACGATTACTGCTTTTGCTGGAGGACTGGTATCCACTGGCAGTTCTATGCCTGCTGTCGGTGGTATTTCTGGACGATTTGCAAGGGTTGGTCGGTTCAGGAGTCCTTTGAAGTAATCAGCCTACTGTTTACTCTGTTTCTTGTTTTTGGTAATTAGGTTCCCTTGACCATCTTTTATAGGTTTCATCTGTGTTGATCTCTTCCCGGATAGAGACCTGGTTATCTGACATAATGTTCTGAGTTCGCTTTTACCTGCTGTCTGTTCTGCTTCAGTTGCTTCTGGTGTTGTGCAATTGCCTTTTGTCTTTCTTCGCACTATTCTTCACTCCTTTATTCACTACGTTGTACATTGGACTCAGTTTCTCCTCTTGTTGTTGTTCATCTTTGCGTACTTTCTTCTGGCTCATCCTCCTCCTCTCCTTTATTAGCTTCTACGTATCCGTAGAGAGCCATTTCTTTAGGAGATTACATAGAGTGAATTCGTCTGCGCCGTTGAGAATAGTTTTGAGCCAATATCACTAATAGTCTCCAGCTATTGACTCTTTGTATCTTGAAGTCTTTAACCAGACACCTTCCTACATGGCTAGCTTAAACCAGCTGTTAAAGACATCATGGACTAATGCAATCTACGAATGTTTGGCATGCGATTCGCCCCCGCCAAATGTAAGATGATGTTACAGGACTGGACTACACTGACTCCTAGTTTAGAAATAGGGAGTGAAGTGGTAGAGCACGTTGACCGCTTCACTTATTTGGGAAGTACCATCAGCCAACGCCAATGGGTTGATCTCTGACGAAATTTCAGTACGGATACAGAGGGCTAATTTTGCATATGCCAGTTTACACCGTCTCTGGCGTAGACGTGACATCCAGCGGCTGGCTATCGACCAAAGGGCGAGTGTACTGCTCAGGAGTCCGCTCCGTCCTCCTTTATGACTAGCTGTGAGACATGGCCATTGAGAATGGAAGACATGAAAAGATTAGCTGTCTTTGATCATAGGTGTCTGCGTTCTATCTCCCGTGTGAAGTGGTATAATAAGGTGAGCAATATTGAGGTTAGGCATCGGTTGAGTTCTAGGTAAGGAGGGGAAATCAATCGACGAGGCTGTGAAAATACATCGACTGAGATGGTTAGGACATGTGTTACGTATGCCTAGTCATCGCCTTCCTCGACTGACGGGCAATGTTAGCTGACATAGGGTCAGGTTGGAAAAGATAACCAGTGGTGGTCAAACGAAAACATGGCACCAGTCGATGAAATTCACAAGAGTTAGTTTAAGCCAGCCAGTCACGTAGGAAGATGTAGACCTCCTGACTGGTTGGGGTCCTCGGGACGGTAAAAACCATTGATGACTGGAAACAATTGGTGATATGGCTCAAACTCATAGTTCTCAATGGCTCAGATGCATCCACTCCTTGTGACTTATGATTTCCAATGAAACTATTTTGTTCTTTGTTGTTACTATTCCTTCCTCAACTTACTGTCTCTATTATGCATTTCTTCTACTTTCTTCTCTTGCTTTGTGTGCTACGTGAAGGGAGTGTGGCGACTTGAACTGCCGCACATATGTGCAAAGTTCTATGTCGAAAACAGATAGACAGACATGGACTGATGGCTAGTTTTGATTTGACCCCACTCCTTAATCTTCTCTTTTATCCTAATTCCAAGTCCAGCTATCATTGGTCGACGAGGCAGTTGATTGGCTAGGCACGCACAACACGTGTGTTCTAGCCATCCCCAGCCAGTATAGCGTGCGTGTATCGTGTAATGTCTGTTGTCATTCATCATCACAGCCTTATGCGCTCATTCATTGTATTATCAAATCAGGTGATTTTTTTTTTGCTTAACTATCTGTCGGTCATCAGACGATGATAAAGAATATAACTGTTGTAGTATTTTGAATTATTCAATTCAACAATAACACTGAAATTAGACTGTGTTTTTGATAAAAATTATTAATTGAGGCCTTAAATAAATTTCAACAATACCTTCATTTCAATAGAAGTCTCATATATAACCCCAACTTTTGGGTGGTTTCATCACCTGATCACCTCTCTCTATATATAGACATATAATCATGCATATTTTCAAATATATTTGCATATAATTGTACATACACCAGACTACTGTGGTTGTTCTCAGTGATTGTAATTGTGATTGTATTTAGAATTTAATTATATATGTACATATTAATATTTTGATTTAGATACTAGGTAGTAAGTTAGTAAGTAAGTGGCGTCATGTGTTGTGTCTAGTTTGTCCTTTGTTCGACGCAGACTGACTGAATTCTATCAGTCAGTCAGTCAGTCAAGTATTGTAATGTAGCCACCTCTGTCCTATATGGCTCGCTATCCATCCCCGTTACACTTTGAATTGTTTGTTATTCGATGATTGGTGGTGGTAATTCAGTAGAGGCAGGAAGCCTCGCCTGACCAAGGTTTCATGCTTTTTGGCTCTTTCACCAGACAGCAGGGGGTGCACATCTGCGATCTTCCAGGAACTCATGTCCCTTTTGGTCAGAGATGTTACCACTAGACACATGACACTTGTTAGTGCCCATTTAAAGCATCTAATTGAGTCCTGCAGGAGGTCAATCGCGAGCTGGAATAATAATAGCTCAGTGGAAACGTCTCTAAATGCAGCGCTCACTGAATGAGTGACACGAGTTTGAATCTAAAAAGCTACCTAGGTTCATTTAAGCTTGTGGATGCACGCCTTTCTGACTGGTGGGTGCCAACTAGCACGTAACCTATGTATGTCCAAGGCTTCCTGCCTATTGATTGCCTCTAACCATCTGAAATCGACAATTCACAGTTCATCGTGATGGCAAGCCACCTACTGGCATGCTGGCCACATTGCGAACTTGACTAACAGAATTCAGTCTGCACCAAAGATCAGAACTAGACACACATACACACATTACACTAGTTACTGACTAGTGTGTTGTTCGTATCACAGCCCCTGGTAGCCACACGCGTTCATAACCTCTGCTAGCTAAACGTCCTATTCATCACTGCCTTGGCACACTTGCGGGGGGGGGAGAGTTCCTCATATAAAAGTGAAGGGGCGAATGTGAACGAATGTCTAGCGCTTACAACTGGACTGGTGAACATGCAAATAGGTCTCCCCTAGGAGAACTGATTATACCCTGACTCCAAACCTATGGTGTGTACATGGGCTCTGGAATCCGAAAAGATCGAATGGCGTGTATTTAGGGTTACCGATACTGTTTCACTGCAATGTGTCATGATCTAACTGCAAGTCGAAGGGTCGAGGACGATGGGATGTTTTCCCTTAAGAGAATCACCTGCTTCTGAATGGTAAGCAGTCATGAGGCTATCGAGTATCCCAGCCTACAAACAACCTATGCCCCAAGTTTGTCTTTTAGTAAATAATGTCACAATGAGAATTATTGAATTATTTATATAAATGTATTTTTTCGCTTCTTTAAATTTATTTTAGTCTTTCCTCTACCCTTTGTCACTGGTTCTCCGTCGTCGTTCCCTGTTGCCGCTTCTCCATATGCTGCAGCGGCAGCAGCTATGGCTGCAGCTGCCGCAGCCGCGGCTGCTGTTCATCACCAACAAGGTCAAGAAACTCCACATTCATCGTCTTGCTGTCTACCATTACCGCCAACATCATCATCATCTTCAGTGACGGCAGCTAGTCGACTAGATAACAACTTTGCCTTCCAACTATCTACGACCACGACCACCAACACTTCAACAGGAGCAAAGAACACATGTTCATTACAACAACAGTCAACTGGTGGCGGTGGTGGGGGTAATCATCATGAAGCCGTTGTAGTACCACCACCGTTAGGTTTAAGCACAGATACTGGTGGTGTCCTACGATGTCCTGAACTGTCTACAAATCGGGTAAGAATACACTAGACATTTACCGATTTTTAATAATTATTCTTCATATGTCTATTTTATGTGAATGGTATTCATTTTCTGCTTAATGTTCATTTTATTCTGAGTAGTATTAGTAGTAGTAGATGGGAAATAGGTGGTGCGAAAAGTTACTCAACAACACTTGACACTCATTCAATAACAACAAGAGTCCTAAAGTCTCCCTACTCCCTACTCCAGCAATGGACAAGGAGTATTCGAGTATTGGTTTGTAGGGATTTGTTAATTGGTTACAGGGTTTCATCATGAGCTGACATTGGTTAGAGAACCATTGGAAAACCTGGGGTTCGAACCCAGGACCTTCTGGTTACAAGGCGAGCTCGTAGACCAGAAGGTCCTGGGTTCGAACCCCGTTGGGTGCGTACTGATGAAGAGTCCCAAACTAGGACGAAACAGCTGTCCAGTACTCCCACCTGGTTTTCCAATGGTTCTCTAACCAATGTCAGCTCATGATGAAACCCTGTAACGGACAAGGAGAGTATATTGTGTGTGTGTGTTTGTGCACCTCTATTTATCAACGAATTGTCTTTCACACAATGGAAATTCTCTTAGCGAAGCCCTTTGAATTGAAGTGAAGTCAAGAAGGGAGAGAACTAAGAAAATTCCATCTACTAGCATCGATGAATTTCTTGATTTTGGCAGACTCTGCATTGGGACCGAGAAGACGATGGGTATACGCTAGACTGATGGGCAGGCATAAGTATAAAACTTGGGCACTGTGGTGGTAGAGTATAATTCCATTATGGGTATTTATTTTATTTTGATAAATCACACAGTGTTGTTATGCAGTAATATTTACTGATGCGACCACGTTTCGAGCACAATTTATTACTGCTCATAATCATATCAAGGCATTACTCACACAACTTTCTTGCTTCGTTTATATACATGAGTAAAAACTGATGATTAGACATTTGAATAAAATCAATAAGATAAGACAAAGTACATTCAGAAATAATAATATTAGTGTTATCAATAAAATATAATCAGATGGGAAATAAAATGTTTTTATACTGAGATAAATAAATAACTTGTTAGAATGTTATGCTGTGAATTGAAATACATTTTCACATTAATTATCCTCTGATTTGACTGGTGGTAATAATATCTTCCACATATCTGGTATTTGCGCTCAGTAATTTCTGTTGCATGTGTTGGGTGTAGATTCGATGAACCAGGATTCAGTAGTCAATCTCTCTCTCCACCCACCTCCCTATATTACTTTTTGGAATTTTGAATCTGTCCCACCCATCCCATTTGGGTGGTTGTGTGTTCGTGCATGCAGTGCTTATCTTCATGGGATCAATCATTCTAATTTCCGAATGTACTTTTTCTTATATTAATTTTATTCAAATTTCTAATCATCAATTTTTACTCATGTATATAAATAGAACAAAAAAGTTGTGTGAGTCGTGCCTTGATATGATTGAGCGCAGTAATAAATTGTGCTCAGAAAGTGGTCATCAGTAAGTATTACTGTACAACAACACACTGTGTGATATATCAAAATAAAATCTTATCTCTAATGATGAGAAGACAGTTGCATCTCTGAACCCTGTGTGTGTATGTGTGTGTGTACGATATGTGTCTAGTATCAGCCGAAAATCAACAAGTTGTCGGAATAGGCGGTGAAGACAGGAATTCAAGAGAACATAGAGAAAACAGAGGTGATGAAGATTTACCGAACTATAACAACAAGAACAAGCATCACCAGTCACCTCTTTAACTCATCTAGGCATCCTGGATATAAGGATGGTAATGCTAGTCAGGATCGAAAATGCGAGACATGAGTTCATTACGCTGTGTTGTAGTACATCTTCTACACTTAACATAAAGAACAAGATTCACCCTTCCAACACTAATGTTCAAGTTTATCAGTTTTTGATGTGGTTGTATTCTCTGAGCTGGATAGTTAATTTGCGAAGCTTTCATCGCCCTACTAGGCGACATCTTCAGCGCATACTTCAATTTAATGAAGTGACCTTTTACATTTCTCCACGAGTTTATTGATCATCTCTCCTGGTGACCTTGGACGTGATTGGTTGTTTTTGTGTGTTTTCACACCCTGTAGGTTACTTGTATTGAAAATGATTGTTTCTTTGACTTGAACTTTGACCCTAAAGGTGATCCTTTCCTTGAGGTGGGAGTGTTGCGACACTCCCACCTCAAGGAAAATTGAAGAAAAATATCTCATGGACGTCTTCCAAAAGAATGGATATCCATGGAATTTCATCAAAAGACATATACCCCCAAGCCAACCTATCAAACCAAAAGCCCCCAAGGAAAGCACACAGAAAATCGCCTCACCATATATAAAGGATATCTCAGAATTCTCTGTAAGACCCTTCAAACCTTTAGGAATTGACGTCGCACACACACTCAATTCTATGTCAACCAAAAGACTCAACAACGAAAGAAGATAAAACCAACATCATCTACAAAATAAATTGTAACCACTGTGAAATACACTACATTGGACAAAGTGGACAATGTCCTCTTCGTGTTCGTATCCACGAACATAAGCTAGCGGTCAAAAGACATGATATCCACTCCCCTCACTCATATCACTACATACAGACAACCACGGACATCAATTCGATTTGGACAACGTTCAAATGTTAGACAGAGGAAACAACAAGAGAGAATTTTTAGAAGCCTGCCTGGTATTCCAGTGAATCATCAATCAATAGACACATCGAGATAGACAAAATATATCAACCGATAAGAAAGAAACCTCACACACAAAGGGTCAAAGTTCAAGTCAAAGAAACAATCAGTTCCAATACAAGTAACCTAGAAGGTGTGAAAACACACAAAAACAACCAACCACGTCCAAGGTCACCCACCGGAAGAGATGACTAATAGTGAACTCGTGGAGAAATCTAAAAGCTCACTTCATTAAATTGAAGTATGCGCTGAAGATGTTGCCTAGTGGTGGGGCAATGAAAGCTTCGCAAATTAACTATCCAGCTCAGAGAACACAACCACATCAAAATCATCCACCTGAGCTACAAATCTTCTCTATCATATCTAAGTTAATCAGTGCTTTTATATGCCTTAGAGATTTGGCCCACGCGTCACTGAAGTTATTTCCGGCAACATGTGACTTATGATAATTTCCATCAACACCTGCCACCCCCCCGCCCCGCACCCTTTCAGACAACGAACCAACGAAGAACCTTTCGCCCAACAAATATGCAGAGGAAATTGGAAATTGATTTCAATACACGTTGAAGAGACCTCTAGGTGTTGTCAAACCCTCACAAGTGGTGGAACCCGATTGTGAAAAATGCCAAGTTGGGTATCTCACTTCGAAGGTAGCATCTAGGAGATGAGAGCTTATAGGCTATCGTAGAGTCAGCTGGATAGTAGTGATGTGTTGTTGAAACTCTTAATGTTTCACTTGGAAAAACCCTTGGAAATAATACTACTACTAATAATAATGATAATATAATCAGAAGTCATCTCTGTATATAATATCTACACATGACATCATCCGACTAGGGTTGTTGTATGCATAAATCACTTGATAATTCGGATTTTTGTCACTTTTGTGTGTATGTGTGTGTAGATTTTGAGAAATTACTGTATACAGATAATTTTTCTGTTTGAAATCAATTTTGTTTAAAAAATAATAATAATGATAATTTTCAAGTTTCCACTGTGTATTATGTGTCAATCAATCAATCAGCGGATCGATGAATTTCACCAGATACCGCGATCTGTTTTTTCTTAAAATATTGAGATTAGAATTGAACAAAGAATATTGATTCACATTTTCAAAAGCCTCCTCCTCCTACTCTTCAATCAGGTTCTACAGTTATGCATCTATAATCAAATCATTGTCGACTGATGATTGTTATTGTTGACAACATTAATGTTGTTATTTTTAAAAAAAGAGAAAGAAATTGAATCAATCAGATCAGTAGATCACAGTACAAAAGTATCTTCTGTAAGTGATCATATGCATCAACATAATGACAGAAGACAAGCACCAGGCAACATATCTTCTATTGAGGAAATCAAGAGATATTTATAAATTTTTATGTACATTATTGTCAGTGGAGAAGCAGTGTCTTCTGATTAGCTGTTTTCTTACTGAAGGTTATTCCGCTGTACTGCTTGTGACCGTTTCTCAGAAAGTTAAGCCATATATCTGCGAATCGTATTTGCACATGTTAAGTCTGCTGTGATTGGTTGGTGAGTTCCTCAAGGTTAAGCTTTGTTGTTGTTGCTTTTCTGTCGTGACCTTGATCCGGGACGTAAACATTGTTCTGAGCGAATTAGTACTGGCCTCTGCTGTTTGACTCTCATAAAACTACCCTAAACCTCTGATAATCTTAGCCTATTAGACCACTTTTTAACGCTTAACTGCTTTCTGTTTATGTGTATATGGGTTCATGAAAATGCACTACATTGATATTCCTAATATTGATTGAAATAGGGTTTTGTAGTCTGTACTACTACTGACAAGGATTTTCAGCAGTAGTATGTAGACTCAGATTGTGATAGGAAGTAGCCAAAGTTGAAAACAACATTTGAAGTCAGTGTCTCGTTTGGAAATAATTCCAAGTTTTTTTAACCTTCAGAGGAGATCAACAACCAATCAGAACAGTTTATTTTCCTCTGAGTTAGCCAATCATAAATGTGGCTAAAAATTTATATAAATATGGTGTGATGTTTTCCTCAATAAAAAAAGATGTCCGTTACCGAGTCTCTCGTCTTCTATCGTCACACTTTTTTTCTTTCCTGTGTCTTATTGTCGGTTTTGATGACAATGCTTTTGACACTTTATTCAACAAGGTGTTTCTTTTCTGGCGAAATATTATTGCATATGAATGTTGCCTTTACGCATCTACGTCATCTGTGGTGTAGATATGATATCCAGCTGTCGATCGAAGGACATGTGTACTGCTCAGGAGTTCACTGTGTCCGTCTTTATCACTGTGAAACATGGCCATTGT